AGGGGACGGTCGGCCAAGTTTGAGTTGCTATCTTGAATCCAGCGACCATTGACTCGTCTTCTATAAATTATTCAAAAACATAATTAAAGGATATCCGGCGTTATTCATGACATCGGCGACTATTTATGCTACGAAATCGAGACACGTACGGTTCTTGCTAATTGCCGCGATTCTCTCCGGCGCTGTTTATTCGTTCTTATGGTTCTCGACCCCTTTGAACAACTTCCGTTCTCAACCTAGAACTCCAAAGAAAGTAAAATCTTCACTGGCATGGGGTGTTGCCACTCGGTTGTTTGTGATTTCGCTAGCCCGGCGCACGGATCGTCGTATTGCGCTTGCACCTTTGTTGGAAGCACATGGCCTTGTAGAACATCAGGATTTCGAATTCATCGACGCAACAGACGCAACGGACTCCAAAGTCAGCCAGATTGTAGGGCATGTACAAGCACAACGAAGGAAGGAGTTCGAGCAAGCAAAAGCATGGAAAGGACGGCCATCACAGCCAAACTCGTTCAAAGAAGCAGCTGAAAACTCACTTTCGGTCCCATGGGGAAGTGATTTATGGATAAGAGATCCTCCACCCAACTCGGAGTACTGGGGTGGAAAGGACTTGTTGGGTGAACTAGACCCCGACTCGGACTATCCCATTCTAATAGAGAAGGGGAACCCTTTCAACCCACACAAGTTTGACGCATACCTGTACCGCCAAACTGAAGCCACACACACGTTGGCTCATGAAGACACGAATACCATTCACACTCCAAATGCAAAGGGCGTGGCATACCTCACACGAGGCATGGTGGCCTGCTGGCATTCTCATGTAACGCTTATTCGACGCATTGCATTACTAGAGACTCAGACACACGCATCAAACGTCTCAGATTCGATCGGTGGTCTGAGGGTCTCTGTGATGCCCAACGAACCTGTCTATATCGTGCTGGAAGACGACGTTGATTTCGAATGGGATATAGATGAAAGATTAACAAGCCTTTGGACTCACTTGCCTGGTAGCTGGGAGATTGCGATGCTGGGTAAGTCAGCACGCCTGATGTTGAACCAGATTGACAATATTCTTTACCAGGTCATTGTTGGTCCGATGAATCTAGATATTTACCAATTGCGAAGTATCCTGATATCAACCATCCATATTCCAACGAGTCAACTGTAGGGGTTGAGCTGCCATTGGTCGCTTCCCCTGGTTTTACCCGTCTACACCCCTCGAATTCACCCCTTTGTACCCACGCATATGCTCTCACTTCAAAAGGAGCTAAACAGTT